TCTCCCCCTCTCTCCCCCTCTCTCCCCCACGAACACCCTCTTAGCACCATTTTTCCCAGGGCAGGACTGAGGCCCAGAGAGGCAAAAGCACTGGGCCCAGGGCACACAGCAAGGAAGTGATCACGCTGGAACTTAAACCCAAGCCCACCTAGTCCCACCCTCACTCAACCAGGCCCCACCCCGTCCCCAGCAGGCAGAGCAGGGACACAGCCAGGAGCGGGCCAGCTCAACCAGGGAAGTCCAGGCAGAGAGGCGGGGCAGCCTCCCTTGGCCCCACCTCTAGCAGCTGAAGCCTGAGAGTATGTGAAGCAGGCAGGGAGGGAGGGTGGCTCGGCCTCCTGGGTTCTCCTCCCTTGGGTGACTCACTTCTACCCAGGGCGAGAGGTCATCTGAGGGCCAGCAAGGCAAACCCAGGAGTCAAGGGCCTGGCTTGGCCTTAGAGAATCCCGGTTCCCTCATCTCCCACCACGGAGCAGAAGAACCCAGACCCAGAGGGCCTGCTCCAGACCCCTCCTTCCCAGAGCAGCCAGGGACCTAGACCCCCACATCCGGAGATTTCAATGCCTTGGGCGTTTCCGGAATCTGGACAGGACATCCGTTTGCCGGACACAGAACAGACAGCCACATGTCAGGACAGACGGAGGGACGGGGCAGCAGGCTGGAGCAGCCATGAAAACGGGGTGACCAGGAGGGGGAATGGAGTAGGCGAAGGTGGGAAGGGGGTCTGGGGCATGGGTCCAGCCTCATTCCAGGAGTCACAGCCTGTCTGGGTCACTTGTGGGACACGCCAAGCGCATGCAGGCGCCGGGGACTCCCTGGGCCGGGGCAGAGGCAGGGACCCTGGCCCATCCAAGCCCCGAGGTCTGACCTTGTGTGATCGGCAACACCAGATACGCCCAGCTCCTCGGCAAGGCTGGCAGGCCATCAGCAGGGCTGGGACGAAGTGGAGGGGACAGTGTGGGGGACAGGGGAGACACAGAGGGGACAGGGCAGGTGCAGAAGGAGACAGAACCCGGTTACACAACAACCACAGGACAATGGGCTGGACGGAGAGGCGCTAATGAGGGCACCGGGGGCTCTGGCGTGTCTCAGATTTGGGTCACTGCAAAGAAGGCTGGAGGTCACCGGCCTGGCCTGGCACAGATGGGGAAGGTGAGTCCGGAGCAGCGACGCCTGAGGCGGCACCAGGAGAGCCTGGCCAGTCACGTGTGTTTGTGTGCCTGCTGGGGGTGACCCAGCCCACCTCCCTCTAATGGTGGGGTTCCAGGGGTGGGGCTGTCCACCCCACACGCCCCACTGGGAGGGCTCCACCTGACAGCCCCGAGGGTGGGAGTGCAGGTCCCCAGGCCCCGATCTAATGAAGCGACTCGGCGCTTCCGCCAACAGGTGCCAATCTGGGTGGCGTCTGGAC